CAGTTAAGGGATCTGGTTCTATAAAATGATGTTAATGGTTAGCATACCAAAGCGTTATGTTAGTTTTCGGACGTGACTTCTATTTGCCGTCTTTGCGAGGTTGTACAGCAGATAGAAATGTACCAAATGTTGAACTTGGAACTCGGCAAAGTCTGACAGTCCGGGAACCTATCGTTAGCTAAAGTGGATTCAAATTCCTCAAGACTGCCACCATCACGAGCATGTAGACACGGAAAACAAGATACCGAACGGCAGGGCACTTGAGCAGTATGGGACTATTCTGACAACAGAAGACAACGCAAGTCGGCCCACATATACTAACATGTTTTCAATCGCCTACCGTTCACTACAATGAATCCTAAAAATCGTCTGAATACTAGCTGCTGACAGGTCAGCACCCCGTTTGTAAAACAAACGCAAGGCCGTCCCCTCAGCACAGCTGGGAATGGTATGGAAGGCCAACAAAATATCCCACCTTAACTACCGACCATTGCAAAATAGGATTGCGGTGACGTAACAGGCAGAAATATTCCGACAGAATCAAAATAAAAAAGATTGTTCATCTCTTGTATAGGACTTCCCGATTAGCGCTCACAGCATCGGATTGCGCCAATGTTACAAAGCGGCCTTGTGCTAGAAAAATGAATTCATACTCCATCTATTTTAAGGCTACCTTTGGGACGAGAGACCCAACGAATTGTCGGTAGTGAGGATGCCGAAAGGATATTGTGCACTTACTTGTTGCCTGTGTTATACACGCACGCGATTTAGCGGAACTTCGGGGCCATACAGGTGAAAAACGTGAAATCTGACCTAGATACATACTTAGGAAGTCTGCTTTAGACGTAATAGAACGCCTCAAAACAATACCCAAATGCCTACCCACTGGAGGGAACAACTGACCACACGGGTAAAAATTCGGCTTCTCGGCATCGGTACACTTGAAGAGAGAAAAGACGTGCAATTTAACGTTCGGAACAACCTGCCCAAACCCCCCACTTTAACGTATACCCTAATAGCAAAGCCGAAAAACGGTGCAACCGCAACGGAAATCCAGTGTTGAGCAGCAGGGGGGTACTTTGATTGCTAAGACGGCAAACCTTCCCGTTTTTACCGGTCTGCGATGGCAGCAACCGTTACCGGCAACTTGACAGCCAATGGTACTAAGATAGTGACAGGCCCAAAGGAAAACCAAATAGAACAATGACTGAGAGAAATGTAACACACCCTAGGAAGGAAAGTAGAAAATCTGCCCATTTAACCAATAAATTTGGTAAACTAGAGCAATTATGTATTTGTCCATGCTGACTTTGAGCAAAAGCAGGCTAATAGCAAACATGACAAGCAATCACACCAAAGCCATCAAAAATATCCCTGAGGAGTCAAACTAAATGAGTCTAAAAACAGATAACTCGAATTATTCCTGATGTTCCTGATGGTAGGCCTTTCTCTTAGTTCTCGCGTTTTCGTAACCTGCCCACTGCAGAACCGTGTAGGCGATAACAAATGCTGCAGAATTTGTCAATTACTTTAGCAAAGCTTACGGGGCGCAACAATGAAGAATTTCTCTTTAAACCTTCTCATGAGGTTTGGAATACCTTTCGAAAAGAAACCCGCGAAGGCATTTACTTCGTATGGTGAGATGCTATATTGTATAACACCCCGACGGTAGTGCAATTCCCCGAACTTCATTTTTAGATGCGACAATTTAGCCCGGCTCTAATGAACCGCACTAAAACGATAAATTCAAGTCCAGTGATTTAAAGTTAGGGAAGACTTTGGTCAAAATTATAAGCTATTTTAAAGTCCACATTACGTCCGATGCAGGCACTGCCTATTTTCTATGAAAAGGAATGGCGACGAACATCCAGATGAGATAAGCTTCTTCAGATTTAAAGCAACTCCAGTACAGGCAAGATGTGGTGACCAGTGAGACGAACTCGTCAAAGTGTAGAGCACAGTACCTGTTCCTCACAATTCGATAGGTCTGAAAGAGATCTCTCTGGATCTGCCTGTAACCAAGAGAAGTAGATTCAGCGTATCAAATCTGTAATCATAAGTCAAAAGGCCTTTCACGATTATTGTTGCCATTCTTCGAACACTTTACAGCACCATAGAAGTTGTTTAGGCAGGTTTGCCACGCATAGATTCCATATTGCAGGTGCAGCTTCTTAAAGGTTTCGTATACTATCCTGAATATCTACTTATTTATGCCTATAGAACTTATTATAATGACGAATAGAACTCCGCTTGTTTTTTTAACCTACGACTTTCATTGTTGATAACATCCGAAAATATGAATAACTGGCCTAAAGTAATCTCTAGTAGGTAAGTTGTGACAGCATTTCAGTTTTTTGGTGGCCCAACGCTTGATTTATATGGCAATAAGCCCTTCTTAGTATTCCATTTATTTTCCATTAAGCATCTAGTTTTGTATTCCTTTAAAAACTGATTCCAATTTCTTATCCTAGGGGATTTTGGTGAGAGTTTGTTCAGGCCTGAGTAATGATATGATAAGAATAAACTAGAAGAGCACAATAGGGGTCAAGGCGGATGGAAAACGGAAGGAATTCCGACAAATCGCAACGCCCCAAAAATTAGAAAAGGGAAAACATTTATTCTCAAGAAATTGGAAGCAAGCAGACATCCACCGAAAAAAGTATCCTGCATATATTACGGTAAAATCGAAGCCCCAGCTAATATGTGCACTGTAGGCCGATTTCTCACACAAAAAGTCAGGCTTACTCTAAAATAGTAAGCAAAAACTGAATGTTAAGGAATGAAAGTGGGTAGTCGACAGTCTTAATGATGTAGTAATAATAACTCGGAAAGATGTGTTAGGGTCTACCGAATGACCCGTGTCTATTACTAAACACCTGCTGGACACGGGTCATTCGGTAGACCCTAAAACTTCTTTCCGAGTAGTAATAATAGTAATAATAATAGCAATAGAAGAAGAACAAGAAGAAGAAGAGGAAAAGGA